ATAAATATATTCAACAGATTATTTTAGTTAGTTATATTTTACGAACGATGTTTATTGATTAATTTTAATTTTTTTTTTGCCGTTTAAAACACTTCTAAACACTTTGTGCCAGTCTAACATATGAAGTAGAAAATGACAGATCTACAGGATATATGAAGAATATGTGAATAAGCTTTGTTAAATTAAAGAATGTAAACCATAATTACTACTTCAAAATAGCGGATAAAATTTTGCCTCGTTTAGTGTGCACCAATAATTAATAATAATATTTTTTTGTGTTTAAATAAAAGAACTCAGTTCGTAAGGTATAAACCGAATACAAAGTTCATTCAAACTTGTCATCTATCATGAAAGCAATTTTCTCATGCCATTGTATTTACTTTTGCATGAAATCATGTTTTATTTAGCTTTCTTATTTGCTTGACATATATTCGTGATTTATGTAATATCATAAATTGAGAATTTGATGTCAGTACTTAATCTTTGTCCTCTCTATGGCAGGTACAAATATGAACTATATATGTAAAACAAATTTTTCACTTAATAAAATATGTTTGACCTAAGAGAATGTTCTCATTTAATGTAATATCATTCTATTTTTGATAATTAAAAAGATAAATTTCATAAGCAATTTAACCTTTAAATGTTCTTAAAGAGCATAGATCTTCAATGGAAATATTCATTAATAGTAAAATTGAATTAAGTTTAAAAAAAGACAAATTAATCTTCTTAACTATTGAGATGAAAAATGAATAGAACAATTTCTCATTTTTATATTAAAAAAACCAAAAAAAAAGATAACAGAGGTTCATTCTGATTTTCATATTCATGATCTTTTTCTAGAACATTATCAGTTTATTTTCATTAAAATCATAAGTTTTTCATCTTTGAGTTTTTTTATTTACGTATGAGAAAGTTACATTAATATGTTTTTATACAATTTATGATTTTATCTATTTACAAAAAAATTTTTAATAACTACAATTAATCGAACTAATAAATTATTATGAATATTTCATAAATTATTCGTATAAAATATATTTATAATATACGATTGTACAAGCTAATTGATTATTCACTTTACTGAATTCAATATATTTCAAAAGAAATATGATATAATATTTTAAATCTATGAGTACCATATTTATTCTTTTATTAAATTTACCTTTTATTTCACATTTATTTTTTGTTCCATGATAATCATGTTTTGTACGAAATTAATTTAATATTCATTCTATACATGTCTGTATAATACACAAGATTATGTCATTGTCTAATTTTGAACATAATATTGATGTGTATTAAAAAATATCGAATGTATAGAAGAACATTCGAAAGAATTTAGTGATGAATATTAATGAAGTTAGCTTTATAGAATTAATTATAATCTCTAGGCATTCAAAAAATTTCTAATTCAGCTTCTTTTTGTTTTTAGATTAACTTATCATTAATCACTTCTTCCAATCTTTCTGTTAGATTTTGTTCTATCTAATCAATTGTTATTCAAGTAATGTTTTTTTTTTCAAGCAATCTATACGTCAAATACTTTTCTTCTTTGACCCATATATTCATGACAAAGCATTTTTAGACATGAAATTATTCTTTTTTTCTCTATTCAAATAGATTAAACATGCATATGATGTTCATGTCATATGCTATTGATTAATAGAGAATAAATGTGCGCAATATGACAATGAAGAAGCAAGAGAATAAACAAGGAACATCAAGAGTCAAAAAAGAAAACCAAGAAGGAAATTCAATCAGTAGAAAAAAAAAATCAATTCAATATGCTATTAGTACTGTTTGCTTCTATTATTTCCAATTGATGTTCTTTTTCTCTTTTGGTGAACGAGTAAAAAGGAAATAAAAATGAGTATAACGGATATGTGGGTTGTCTTAGTCGTTAAGAATAATTGTGATTGTGTATTAAACTTTTGTCTTTTATTGTTTGATCAACCAATATCCTGAATTTTGTAAAA